GTGTTGACTGTAGTTATATTGTACGATTTTGGAGATGAGTAAAAACAAAAATAAACTCTTTTGACAAATTGAACTGTTTTAAGGCTTTAAAACTTTTTATTTTTTAAAGCTTACTATATTTTACCTTTGAGGGAGGCAATGCATTGGGTAGGACTGAGTGGATGGATCTTGGGCACAAAGTGAAGGGTTGGCCTCAGCTGGGAGCATAGACAGGGCATACTTGGCTCTGGCAGGAGGTAGTGTCTGTGGGCGCAGATGCAGGTGGGTGGGATGCAGATGCAACAGGTGAAACTGTGATCATTCTCTTCCTTATTACGTCAAGGATCTGGCTCTAAAAATTCTTCCTTCATTCTTCCTCAACATCCATTTTCCCTCTTAAGTGGATAACTTTCAGAGCATGAATGCATGCAGTTATTTCTCCCATCTTAAATAAAAAGAACTCTTTCTTGACATGACTTCACATCCCAGTTATTACTCCACTTCTCTCCTTTCCTTTATAGGGAAACCCCTTGAAAGAGCTATTCATGGTGGCACCTGTAGCTTAGGCAGCTAAGACACCAGCCTTATACACCAGAGCTGGCATGTTTGAATCTGGCCCGGGCCTGCCAAACAATGACAACTACAACCAAACAATAGCCGGGCGTTGTGGTGGGCACCTGTAGTCCCATCTACTTGGGAAGCTGAGGCAAGAGAATCACTTAAGCCCAGGAGTTTGAGGTTGCTGTGAGCTGTGATGCCATAGCACTCTACCCAGGATGACAGCTTGATGCTCTGTCTCAAAAAAAAAAAAAAAAAAAAAATATATATATATATATACATACATACATATATATAAAAAGAAAGAGCTATTCATATCTATTGTCTCTATATTTTCTCCTCCCATTTTTTCTGGGATATGTTTTAATGATGCTTTCATTTCCACGTCTCCAGTGAAGCTTCTTTTGCTCAGCTCACCCAAACTCCAGTGATGAATTTTCTCCCTTGATCTTGCCCTATTAGCAGCATTTGGGAATATCACTCCTTCCCTCTTTAAACATCTGTGCTTCCAGGGAACACACCCTCTAGATTTTCCTTCTGGCTCCTTCTTCATCTCTTACGCTGGTTCCTCTTTAACCTCCAAGTTTGTTAACACTAGTGTGCACCGTGGCTTTATCCGTGGACCTCTTCTCTCTCCTATTCACAGTTACTCCTTTAGAGATCCCATCCCGATGTGTATCTGTAGCCTGGATCTCTTCCTGAAGTCCAGACTCTTCTACCCAACATCTCCACTGGGATACCTCAAACTTAGCAAGTGTATAAGCCTCATTCTTCTCTGTAGCCCCATAAATGGCAACTCTTCTCTTCCAACTGCTTAGATAAATACCATGTGGCAGACAAATAGCCAGTGACTCTTTTCTCTTACACTGCTTACTCATTTTGTCTGTACTCCCATCAGCTCTACTTGCTACCCCTCTCAGTATTTTCTCTGCTTGACCAAGCCACCATCATCATTTTCCTTGATTCTCACAACAATTTTATAGCACAAATTCTAGTCTCCCTGTTTCTGCTCTTGCCATCTCTCCCCCCTGCCACAGTCAAATCGTACCACATACCCAGAGTGACATTAATAAACACACACTACGTCTTATTATACCCTTCTGGTGGCTTTCCATGTCCCTTAGAGCAAAGCTGAAGTTTCCTAGTGACCACCAAGGCCTGATGTTATCTGATTCCCACTGCCTTCTTGGTGCAATTTCTCACTACTTCCCACCTTGCTCAACTAACTCCCGTCACACTGGCCTCCTCACTGTTTCATAAATACACCAGAAATGTTCCTGTCTTGGGCCTTTGCACCTGCCATTCTTGTTCTGTGGAAGAGAGACCTACCTTTGCTAATTCTTATAAATTTACAAGCCCCTTCCAAACATTTCCTAATTTACTTTTTCCTTCTTGGCATTTACTGATATATATTTTATTTATTTATTTGGTGCTTAAGTTCCAACAAGGCAGGGATATTTTTCTGCTTCATTTGTTGCTCCTGAGTTCCTGGTGCTTAAAGCAATGCCTGGCATAGAGTGGGTATATTCAGCAATATTTGCTGAATGAATTAATCATGATTAGGATGGTATGATTTATCTAATTATGGCTGTAACGATAGAGATCCTTCCCCATGTTCCACAAGATTCTAAAGGGGGAGGATGCTTCATTAACACAACTCCTACTCACACATTCCAAATAATTCAAAAGTAATCCACGATTTGATTAGTTTTGCAATGATTTCAAAATAGATACCTAAGGATCAATAATGGACATAGAATTAAAAATTTAAAAAATCAAAAATAGAAAATTAATTAATAAATATGAGTTTACCTTTAAGATGGGAATTACTTTACATAGACAGATCCTAAGAAGCAAAGAACTTGGACTTGATACTTTATTTGGTAACTTTGCTCTGAATTGCTTTCTCTGGACTAATACGAAAGCTGAATTGCAGAATATTAAACACCCAGGGTACCAAAGCATACATTTACCTTCTGACTATCCAGGCTGAGGCAGAGGTTTAAAGCAAGATTAAACTTGACCATGTCCTCATATTTATCAAGAATTAAGGATTCTCCTAGTCATGCTTCTTGACATTCAATGTTAAAAGGATAACAATGTTAGGGTACACTACAGAGCCTACTTTTATCTATTTGGAAGCATAAATCTCTGCCTGTGAAACATGTTTCTTACAATTGTTGGACATCGTGACAGAAGGCTAATGAAGAAGTTAGTAATAATTTATAAAGTGTACTCAGTACCAATCATTTCAGATGCACAAGAGTTTGCAGTGAGCTCTCAAGGGTTTTCTTTTTTCTCTTCTACCTTGAACTAAGTTCTTTCTTTCATGTCTTATAAAAGGTTGAAGAAACTCCTGAGAGCTGAAGTAGCCATTAAAATTGTTATCTTCCTGCTGTTCATAAAAGATTGATCTAAATAAGAGGGCTTCCAGTGGGCTCCAATAACACAAAGCAGATACAGGTCAGTTTATTATTCAACAAAGGGACAAGTATTTTAATTATCTGCAGCAGGGAAAAATTAATCTGTTTATTCTCTCTTACTGCCCTCCGAGCAGGAGAACCTGCAAAGGCCCCTTTTCTTGCTGAGCAGGCTGAAAATGTGAGGACGCACAGCAGAGCTGGGAGGCTGAGTTAGAGCCAGACTGTGCCATTTACACAAAGGCAGGGCAAGACTGGAGCCAGGCAGCAGGAAAGGCTGCTTGGGAAGAAGCTTCTAGAAAGAGGAAGACGTAGCAGTTGGTAGTGCACAGAGCAGTGATTTTTATCTGTGTGACGCAAAAGGATCTTAGGCATGTTGTGAAAATTTTTACAGATCATCAAATATTTTTAAAAGAAGTTCAAAGCACAGTAAGTATATTCTTTCTTTTTACTCTTTTCTTTTGATCAACATAAGTGTGTCGTGAAAGTTTAACTATGGCTTCAAGTGCACTGAGAGATTAAAAAAAGGTTAAAAAACGCTGGTATAGAAGATTATGGGGAAAAGGAGAAATATTGAAGCTGCCACCCAGAAAAGAACTTTTATTTATTCTGAGACAGAGTCTCACTTGATTGCCCTGGCTAGAGTGCTATGGCATCATAGCTCACAGCAACCTCAAACTCCTGGGCTCAAGTGATCCTCCTGCCTCAGCCTCCCCAGTAGCTGGGACTACAGACTCCTGCCACAACTCCTGGCTAGTTTTTCTATTTTTAGTAGAGATGGGGTCTTACTCCTGCTCAGGCTGATCTGGAACTCCTTCGTTCAAGCAATCCCCCCAACATTGGTCCCCCAAAGTGCTTGGATTACAGGTGTGAGCCACCATTCCTGGTCTCAGAAAGGAACTTTGGGGGGCATGTGGGGAGGGAACAGATGCTTAGGTAAGTTTTTTGAAGTTTTGCTACTTGCTGACATCCTTCTTTGTCCAAATGCTATTTTTTCCAGCACACATTAAATAAACACCTAATTATTAAAAATTTTTGAAAAATATAACAGAATTATTTTATATATAAAATCAAGCCATCGGCTCGGCACCTGTGGCTCAAGAGGCTACGGCGCCAGCCACGTACACCTAAGGTGGCGGGTTTGAATCCCCAGCCCGGGCCCGCCAAACAACAATGACGGCTGCAACCAAAAAATGGCCAGGCGTTGTGGCGGGCGCCTGTAGTCCCAGCTACTTGGGAGGCAGAGGCAGGAGACTCGCTTGAGCCCAGGAGTTGGAGGTTGCTGTGAGCTGTGATGCCATGGCACTCTACCCAGGGGGATAGCTTGAGGCTTCGTCTCAAAAAAAAAAATAAATAAATAAATAAAATAAAATCAAGCCATCAGTTCATCTACCACACCATGGTCAAGATGGCACAGGCACCTCAACTATACAAAGGCAGGATAATCCTCCCCAGCTCCTGTTCAAATTCTGGTTGGTAAACACTATATGGATCATGTTTTAAGATGCACAGATAGGAGATTTGCTAAAGATAGCTTTAGTAATGTGTGTTATTGGGGAAAGCATTAAGCTCTTTGAATTTTACCTAATATATCATGAAAGGACTTTAAAATGATCTATACAGAAGTCCTAGGAATGGAAAGAACTTAGGAGGCTTAAATTATAAATCTTTCATTAATTGAACAAAGCTATCTAGTTTTCATGGAAATCAGAATTTTGACAAGTCGGAATGCACCAAAGGAAGGATTTTTCATTATTTCATATTATGTGGCCATTTGGGCCTTTTATTTCTTCACATAATTTTGTTTTTCAGGGAATCATTTGGCATCAAATTATCTCAAAGGCAAATTGTGCTCCAAAAGCCTAATTGCTGGAACATTCCCCAAATCCTGAAGATTGTCAAACTCCGACTAAATGAAATGTTCAGTTAACATTATGACTAATTGCTTAATTTTTTAGTCCCTCTTGATATGAATAGATGGAGAGGCAATAAAAAAATAAGCAATTAGTCATAATGCTTTTCTCATCCAAAAAATCTATTTACCTCTTTCTCCATTTGCAATCCTTCTGCTCTAATATTTCTTTCAAATACTTCTCTCTTTTCGGTCTGGGGGTTGGATTTCCTGTACACAAGAATGTAGTCAATTCGACACTTTCCATCTCTAAAGTAAAGTCCGTTTGATTTGTGTCTTTCCGGCACTGTCTGCACACAAAGAGAAGGGGACCAGGTTAAGCCACTCATCAAGTTAAAGTTCACATGTGTAATGTGAAGAACAACTGAAACGAAGTACCTGCTTCCTTTGAGTTTCATTAAAATTGCATTTTTATAAGAGGAAATAAAGTAAACCTTGGAAGAACCATTGAGTCAAATGGAAAACATTTAGATTTTTTTTCCTAAAAATACCAAGCATTGCTAAGAAAGTGAAATAACTAAAAATTCTTATAGTTCTTAAAGGTGAGTGTTAAAATTGATACATTCTCACTCAGGAAAACATACTGTCATTATCTTATAAAAGGGAGCCCTTCCATTCCATACAATCCTCAAGAAATTCTTGATAAGGCAACTAGGAGACGGACATATATAGGAATAGTCATAAGAGCATCGTTTATAACAGAAAAATGTGAAAAGTGGGCATTGGTTCAAATATCCATGGATGGGTAATACATAGGGTGACCAGATTTTAACATCGGTAAGGTGAGACAACATGGGCCGGGGGCGGGGGGGGCGGGGCCTGACAACAATGCAAACTTTGATAAGCAGTTCTCGATAATCACTTCTCAACAATTATTTGTTATTATTACAGTTTAACATTATAAAATCAACAAAAATAATATAAAACTCATATTCTGGCGAAATAGCCACATGGCAGCCGAGAACTGTATATTCCCTTCCTGTTCTCCCACCGGTTCGTGCATTCTTTCCAAAAATTGGGACTTTTTAAAAACGCTGTGGGACATGGGACAAATTGTTAAAAAGTGGGACTGTCTCACCAAAAGCAGGATGTCGGGTCACCCTAGTAATACATAAATAAATTGTAGAAAGATCATTCAGTAGAATACAATATAGTGAAAATGAATAAACCACAACTGTATTTAACATTAAGAATGAATCTTAAAAACAACATTGACAGAAAAAAGGCAAATCACAGATTTCATACTATATGGTACTATTCTGTTATTGAGCACAAAACAAACTAAATCTAAAAACAAGATGTTACGACTACATATATATGCTGCAAAATTATTTTTAGACTAAGAAAATTAAAAACACGAAAGTTTAGAAAGAGGGAACTGATGGCAGGGTACAGAGTTATGGGACTACAAAAGTAGCTTCAGTGGTTTTAAAAATGTACTAGTTTGGCTTGGTGCCCATAGCTCAGTGGTTAAGGTGTCGGCTACATACACTGAGGCTGGTGGCTTTGAACCTGGCCTGGGCCTGCTAAACAATAATGACAACTGCAACAACAAAAAAAGCTGGGTGTTGTGGCGGGCACCTGTAGTTCTAGCTACTTGGGAGGCTGAAGCAAGAGAATCACTTAAGCCCAAATTTGAGGTTGCAGTAAGCTGTGACACCAGGGGACTCAACAGAGGGCAACATAGTGACTCTGTCTCAAAAAAAAAAAAAACAAAAAAACAAACAAAAAAAAAAACAAAGAAAAAAAACACTAGTTCAATATTTCTTAAATTTACTTTGTTACTTTGTGTACATACGCCTACATGCATATACAAAATATTTCAGGCAAAACTTCTGCAAAACAATTGTTTGTCATTTCTATCTGAATATACTCTATATTCTATTTAAATATTAATTTTCCAGTCCATTAAAAAACAATTGGAGTTAGTGACCTACAATTAGCTTGTCACTGCAATTTGAAAAACGGCACTCTAGTTCATAAGTTGGACGGCGGTTCAAGGTGCTCATTATTACGCCTCATAACTTACACAGAAGTTACAAATATTATTTTGCAGTAATCAAATATTACATTTATTAAAAAATAAAAAAAGGAGCAGGTTCAATTTTCATCCAGCCACCTTGGGATTATTGTAATAATGTACAACAATGAAAGAAATAAATCATCAAGTATGGGGTGCTTGGGCTGGAGCCAAGTTTCTCTGGCTAATAGATTTCAAAATTGTGTCCGTGAACCCAGCCAAGAGGAAATGGGGGTATCTATCCTTTTTTCTAGGCCATAGAATACATCAGTTTCCAAGGCGGCAAACACAACAGACCTCCAAGACCATTGCTAGATGCCACATTCCTGCCCAAATGCCACGTCATTTAGTAGGAAAATCTCAGCTAGAAAGAATGCAGTGCCCATGTGCCAGATCTGGGTGCAAGTGTTTCCAGTGAATGACTACTCCTCACTGACTGTTTGTTGGCTTTCACAGTGAGAGGCACCCAGGAGTCTACCCAGCTAAACACTTTGTTAGCAATTATTTGCCAAGCAAGAAGACAGTCCTGGGGATGTGGCACATGACACTTGCCTTCAATGACAGGACTTCAAGTACAGGAGTACAAAAACCTGGTGGGGATGGGATCTTGCTCTTTGCCAATATTATCTTTGGTTTAATTTTTGGTAAAATATCTACTAGAATGGGTATATGATAAGTAATATAAAAATAAAAATAGGGCAGTCCCTGTGGCTCAAAGGAGTAGGGTGCTGGTCCCACGTGCCGGAGGTGGCGGGTTCAAACCTAGCCCCGGCCAAAAACTGAAAAAATAAATCAATAAATAAAAATAAATAAAAAATAAACTAGTATACATGATTAAAAAAACAAACAAACAGGGCTTTAGCCAAGGCATCAGAAGGAGGGTTGTCCCCAACCAGAACAATGGCCTGAGCTGCTTTTAGCAAAGCCCGAATCTTTCTGAGACTGTTTCCTCATTTGTAAATTAAGGGCAGGAGACAAGTTGCTTTTGAAGTCCCTTTCAAAGGCCCTGTATCATGTCACATTATAGTGCTTAAAGTATTTGTGTGAAAAGTTGATGACAGAATAAGCTTTTTCCTTAAAAAAAAAACATAGCTGCTTATAGTATTTGTGGGAAGAAGTCTGTGAAGCTCGGTAAAACTAAATAATTTTCCCAATTCAACAGTTACCTGGCTCTGGAATAGCAACATCCTTAGGAATATGCAATAAATAAATTATTCTGATTCTGTGTGTCTGTTACTTGCGCCCAATGCATGTACAAAGGAGATAGTAAACGCCACTGGGACACGGCCCGAGCAATGGGGAATGCCTCCAACCAAATATGTTTTTGTCCAAAACGGCATAAGAACAGATGGGTCTATTTATAATTGCAAGGACTTTCCAGATTACAGAGGCAAATAGCAGCTCAGAGAGGCTTCAGACCGCACAGTCTACCAAATGCGGGTGCATTTCATACCACTCCTCTATGTGCTGGGGGATTTACACAAGAAAGTCCATCCTTGGGAAGCTTATGTTTTACTCATTAGTGATACCCAGAATGCAGGTGATCTTAAAATGGTGGGAGGCTTTTAAGAATCTTCCTTTGTATAAATGAAATGTTTTTAAATATAGGAAGGTAGCATAATCCATTGAATAATTAATTAATTAATTAGTTAATTATTTTTCTGAGACAGAGTCTCACTATGTCACCCTTGGTAGAGTGCCGTGGCATCACAGCAACCTCAAACTCTGGGGCTTAAGTGGTTTTCTTGCCTTAGTCTCCCAAGTAACTGGGACTATAGGCTCCCGCCACAATCCCTGGCTATTTTTTGGTTGTAGGTATCATTGCTGTTTAGCAGGCCAGGGCTGGGCTTGAACCCACAAGCCTTGGTGTATGTGGCTGGCACCCTACTCACTCAGCTATGGGCACCAAACCCCATTGAATATTTATTTTGAGCATAGGTAGACTTAGGATTCCCAATAACGTGCTAGACCCATGAGAGATGTCAAAAGAATCTAAAACCTATCCCTTGTTTTCTAGGAGCCTACAGCTAAATGAAATTATGACTTCAAACAGTGCATTGAAAGATGTTTCAGAGGTCCCCAATTGGATCAAGAATTATATATTTTTAAGAAATACACTCTTACCTCTCCCCCAGCTTCCAATCTGCTGGCATCATCTGAAGTACTAGTCAGGTTCCCAGGGTGAAGGAGAGAATCGTCATCTTTGCAAGGACTATTGACAGCTTCTAATTCATCAAAAAGAATATTGACGTCCTTGGCCACTAGAATCAAAGTAAATACATTATAAGCAGAGTTAAGGATCTGGGATCTTGAAAGTGACACTAAAAGAGAAGACATGTCCCTTTGTCTTCACATTTTCTCATTGTTCTAACCATCTTGAGTGACAGGTATATTATTTCCTAAGAGAAAAGGATGTCTGGTGTAAAACACGTTTGACCGAACGCTGTATTCATGAAGCAAGATTAAGGGAAATGAGAAGAATCCTCCTGATACGGTTATAACGCCTTCCATGATAACAGGTGTGTGTTGGTTTAGCTTTTCTTCACATAGTTGTTTAGTTTAAAGTACTTTCATTTATGAAGTTCAAAGAACTCACTTTCTCAGTTGGGGTTGACCTTTCCTTTTTAATTTCTATTTATTTTTTCACTTAAGTGCTCTCCATCTTAAGTAAATCCACAAAGGTGCACCTTGCTTTGTTTAGTCAGAATTGTGGTTTTTTCCCCCTCCTCTTTTTCTTCTCTAAGGCTGAAAAGATAAAACCTAATGCCATAATAAAGAAGGCAGGGAGGTTTTCTGGCCTGCCATCCTCCTCATATGATGAACTGAAATAATGACGGGATTCTGTGCACCTATTACCTACACCCAGTGTATATGCAAAAGAGATAGTAAACTCCACGGAGACACAACCTAAGCTCATCAAAATATTGTTGATATTAACAACATGTCAGTATACAAAGTGCTGTATATCAGAGTTCCAGGTATAGACTGCCAGGTCAAATGCAAGAACTTGGAGAAGGAGATATGTATCACCAGGCGTGGGTTACCTACTTGAATTATGGGCCAACATTGCAGTCCTCTTTTTGTTTTGATGCTTTAAAAATGGCTGAGGATTTATAAAATGTCAGAAGCCACTACACAAAATAATTCATAGGAGATTGGGTTCTTATTCCCTAAGCACAGGACAGGGTATTCATTCTTTCCTTCAAAAACATTATAGAGATGCGCACACTGTTATCAGGTACAAAGCGTGTGATGATTTCCCCCAGGAAATGCAAGGGACCTGGCTTCCTGACTTTGTGGTGGTCATGAAACAAAACAAATGAACTGTATGTTGGGGAAAATACTATAAAGAAATGAGCAGAGTTAGGATATAGACAGAATAGAGGTGATGTACTTGGATGGGGTGACCAGGTTCTAAAGCTGTATCTAAGCATGTGATTTTAGGCCATTCATTTAACTTTTCTAGTTTTTCATCTGTCAAATAAAGTAGACGTGGCAATAACATTGACATTTATTGCTTATGGTGATAGGGTCAATTATGTACACCCCAAAGTGGTGGAACCTGTGAGCACGTCACTTTACATCGCCAAAGGGTTTTGGAGGTCAAGCCAAGGATCTTAAAATGAGGATATTGTCCTGAAGTACACAGTGAGGCCAGATGTCATTAAAAGGGTCTTTATGAGGGCAGGGCAGGAGGTAAGAATCAGAGAGAGATTGGAAAATATTACGTTGCTGTTGGTTTTGAGGATATAGGATGGGATCCTGAGCCAAGAAATGCAGGTGGCCTTCAGAAGAGAGAAAAGCTCCTAGAGCCTCCAAAAAGAACACAATCTGGCTGACACCTTGATTTTAGGACTTCCAATATCCAAAACTATAAGACAATACATTAGTGTGAAGCCATTAAGTTTGTGGTAATTCGTTACAGCCACAGAAGGAAACTAATACATTCGCTATAAGTTTATGTACTGTAAAGCTACAGAGAAAAAAAATCATGGTTGTTTCATACAATCAAGGATTAGGAGCACCTACTCTGTGCCAAGTACTATACGAGGGGTTCAAAGAGAGGAACTAATGCTTTCTGAGGAAGGGCAATATGTCCAGTGTTTTGGAAGGTAACGCGATCAAAGACGACTTCCCTGATAACTCTATGTAAAAAATATTCCCCCTCTCATAATTATTCTCCTCCTCTCATAGCTCAGCACCTAACGATCTGTTGTTTTCTTGCTTGTCTCTTTGTTAGACACAGTTATTAGGAGCTTCATAAGGTGGGAACCTTGTCTGACCTGACTGGTGCTCAGAGTAACCTTCAACACATATTTGTTAACTGGCAGAAGAATAGCCTTAAGCTGGTCACGGTCTAAGCTTTAGCTAAGTCAATAGCCTTAGACTGGTAAATACTCTTAAGCTGATCTCTGAGAGTCCTCTTCCTCTGACATTCTATGGCCCTTGGACTTCGCATACATGTTTTTTCTAACATGATTCTTATTCACAAGCCAGGACTCTACAGTTTCAAGTAGATAGTGATTAGATTTTCAACTGAATAGAGATTAAGCCAAATTTCAAGTAGATGTTGATTAGATTTAAATGGTGGGATTAAAAATACCATTTAAAAAAGTCAAAAGATCAACTCATCATTCCCAGCTCTTCCACTTAGCCTGAGAGCCTGCAATTCTGTTTCCTCACTGGTGAGAAAGGGATAGAAAACCTGTCTCTGAGGGTGGCCAAGACTAGATGAGATAATGTATGCATTAACAGAACAGCTGACGTGGCAGACCCACAAGACATGTTTTTATATCAGTTCTAGAACTCTGATACTTTAAAGTTATCATTTTACCCTTGCCAGCCAGAAGGCAGAAGAGCCATCTGCAAGGTGAAATAGTCATTACAGTTTGGGATGGGGATTGAGATACAGGGGCACAGTAACAAAGACACTGATTGAGTTAGGGGATTGGCTCACACACCCACGAGAAACTCTCAAATATCTACAAATACACGTACATATTCATCAACTCGGGACAACTGCCCTTGTGCTTTTGCCAAGGATAGCATGGAAAACCCCAGGTCATCTTTAGCCCGTATCACTTTCTGGCACTGGCACAATCAGTTCAACCAAACCCTCTATGTCTGTGGTTCACGACTAGGACCAGTTTTGTCTCCCCAGTGGCTTTGGAATTGGCATTGTTTAGGAATTTTCATCGTCTTTACTGGGCCGAGGGGAGGATGCGCCAGTGGATTCAGTGAGCAGAGGCTGAGGATACTGCTACATACCTCCAATGTGTGGGACAGCCCCTAGAGCAGAGAGTTATCCAGCTGAAATATCAGTAGTGCCGAGTTTGGGAACCCCTACTCTGTGTTAAAGGCCCAGTGATTTGATTCTAGGAGCAGCTAACTTTAGAAAAGGAGAAGAGTGCTTCACTTTCTCTATTGCTATACATCCGAATTACTGTCTAGAAGTCACAGGGCTGCTGTCACCTGAGTGCTCAAGGAAATCAGTGTGTCATGACAATCTGATTTGCAGAGGAAAAGTGGTATTAAGGGATCATTATCACCTGGCAGCCTCTCCATGGCTTCAGCAGAGATTAGCAGCACTGAACTCTCCGAGAACCCTCAGCCGAACAGTGTATGCTCGGCAGTATTTAGTAAGACAACTGTACACTGTGCAAACGCCCCACGGGCACTGAGAAGCACGTGCCCTTCATCATAATTCACTATCCTGTCTGAGATTATCAACTTTAAGAACAAGGTAAGTTTGGGGAACAAAATCTAATATTTTCTGATACAAACTTACATGATTTCTCTAAGGAGAAAAAGTAATGTTCAAATTTCAAAATTAACACATTTTTTAAAATTTAAATTAAAATTAAAATTTTTTTTGGCCAGGGCTAGGTTTGAACCCTCCACCTCCGGCATATGGGGCTGGCACCCTACTCCTTTGAGCCACAGGCACTGCCCAAAATTAACAAATTGTTAAAAATCTCCTTATTCAAGAAGTATTTATTGCATATCTACCATGGCCAGACACTGTGCTGTGCTAGGACCTGGGGCTGAAGGATGGACCAGGATGAGCACAGGCAGGCCCTGCTCTCACAGACCTCACTGTCCAGCCAGGGTGGGAGGGGGGCCTTTCTATCCATGGACATGGGTGTCACAAAGATGCTGTTCATCCAAACAGGTCACTGGTGAATGCATTCCATCACCTGCCTTATATATTTTTCTCCTAAATCTAAAAATATTTGATAATTATCTTCCTGGGAGGATGCAGCTCTCCGGCTCATTAGATGAGAAAGAGCCAAATACTCGGAGGAGTCAATTAAGAAAGACAGGAGGAGAGAAAATGCAGAGATTTGATGCAACCTGGTAACGGACCTAGAGTGCATTCAGACTCAGCAGGGGCTGTGTGAATGGAACTGGGCGGCACAGATGGGCCAGGATGGTGGACACTGGGCATTTGGGAAGGCAAGGGAGATATTCAGATGATTCTCTGTCACAAAAATTTGAACTCAGCCTAAAAAAGACTTGGGAACAAAACAGCCGAGACTTCCATATTACAACTGAACAGTAAGGATCAAGGACCTCAAATTGCCTAGGAAACCAAAAATCAGCTAGAGAGTCTTAGTAAATCATCAGATTCAGCATGGAAAAGTGATGGCAGAGGCCCAGGGCTTTATTTACTAACCCAGGGTAGGGGGCAAGTCACTAAAGGTAGAGGCCAGCAGGGGGCAGATCCTGACATTCCTCATGTGATGGAAAGGTGAATTTACTTTGGTAGGACTGAATCTACTCCTCAAATATTTGCAATTGTTTCAATTTTTCCTCCAGTGAAAATCACTGTTTGAGATGTTACCTATTGTTAATTTCTAGAGAAAAGAGATTACAAAGACATTTCTGGGACTCAAATACATAAACTAGGCCAGGTGCAGTGGTGTGCACCTGTAATCCTAGCACTCTGGAAGGCCAAGGCAGGAGGATGGCTTGAACCCAGGAGTGTGAGGTTATAGGGTACTATGACGACACCACTGTATTCTAGCCAATGTGACAGAGCAAGACTCTGTCTCAAAATAAAACAAACCGAATTAACAAATTATTTTCTGCCATTTGTTCGTGGGGCCAAAAGTTAGTATTAGTTGCCATATGGGACATGAGTGGGAATTCTTTGGTAACGATAAAAAACAAATAGTAAATGTGTTTCAGAAATAGTTCATAGGATGCCAAGCACGATGGCTCACACCTGTAATCCTAGCACTCTGGGAGGTCGAGGCAG